AACAGCTCCTAGCTAGGTGATGACAGCCTGTGAGTCTCTGCCGGAGCTTAGGTGAGCTGGGATGTAAAATGAGCTTGTTACAGTGAAGGGCAGATGGAGAGTAGTGGGGCTTACCAAACAGAGCCTGGGGCTCAGAGGGCCTGTGGTCCCAAACTACTGAAAAAGCTAATGTGGGAAGAGTGCTTGAGCCCAGGAATATGGGACTAGCCTGGTCAGCACAGCAAGACCCATCTCCAGGAATAAAACAAAGGCATAGCTCAGTGTTAGAGCACTCACCCATTCCTGGGTTCAATCTTCAGTACTGCAAAGAAACAAAACGAAACAGAACCTGGGCTTATTTCCAGTGTCACACCCAACCAGCCACCACCTCACAAACCTCCCAACAGAGACCGGATGATTCTCTTTGAAGGACCAGCTTCACTTTCCCTACTCTATGCCCTTTGACTGTATTTTTGTTACATTTTTATTTATTTATCTGTGCGCATGTGTGTGCATATATGTGGACAGACATGTGCCACAGTGCACATGTGATGGTCAGAGAGATAAACATACAGGAGTTGGATCTTTCCATCCACCATGTGGGTCCCAGGGGTGGAACTCAGGTCATCAGGACCGATGGAGGTGCCCTTATCCACCGAGCCGTCTCACTGGTCCCTCCCCCATCTTGATATGATCAAATACTGGATGACAAAGCAACTTAAGGGAGGAAGGGTTTATTTTGGCTCACAGTTTGAGGAGATACAATCCATTGGGATGGGGAAGGTAGATCATGAGGTAGCTGGTCACATTGTGTCTACAGCCAGAAAGGAGATTGGAAAGAGGCAGGTCTATAAAACCTCAAGGCCCACCCCCAGAGATCTATTCCTTCACAGAGGCTTCAACTCCTGAAGGTTCCACAACCCAGCACTACCAGCTGGGGACGAAGTTTTCAAAGATACGAGCCTATGGGGGCATTTAACATTCAGTTCACAATGTCCTTACTAGCAGTTTCAGAGACTTTTCCTCCTGATGGGCCTCATCCTACAAAACCCATGGGCCCTGGAATATGGAGAATGGGGGTGCTGATGTTAGACGTCCTGAGTGACAGGCCTAGTGCACTTTGGGGAAGGGAGACACCCCAAGTGAACTGGGAAGACATGATGATTTATAAGCAACTTCTCAGGAAACAGAGAGAAGTGGGAAGTAGGGAGGCACACACTGCGTAGTTCAGGCCAAGTTCGCAGAGGCATGATTCCCACACAGTACCAAGCACCATGTAGGTGTACAGTTTGGTAGGGTGGTTTCTGTTGTTTTCAGTGCTGGGACTCAGACCCAGGGCTCAGCAACCCTAAGCAAGGACTGTCCTATTGAGCTGCTGCCTCAGCCTAGTTTGATGAGTTTTTGGGGTGTTTTTGTTTGTTTGGTCTTTTTGAGACAGGGTCTCCTTATAGCCCCAGCTGGCCTCGTAGTTGCTATGTAGACCCGGCTGGCCTTAATCTCACAGAGATCCACCTACCTCTGCCTCCCAAGAGCTGGGATTAAAGGTGTGAGCCACTATGCACAGCTCCTTTGATGAATTTTAACAAATGACTTTATCCTCATAACCTCTACTGAAATTTGGCTCTATTATCTTGCTCCAAAAACCTCCTGGTTTGGTCCCCTGCCAGCCTTGCACCCACGGGGGATCCAAATCCTCCACCTCAGATCTCTAGACTAGCTTCTTAGCCCAAACTAACCAAACACCCTAGAGCAGATTGCTAAATCCCTCCTGAGGCAGTCCCCTCACCCCCATCTTCCCTGGCTCCTGATCAGCCGGACAGACCTGCCCACTAGGACTCTGACAAGCACACCATACACCACTCATCAAAGAAGCTTCTTTTTGCAGCAGATGGAGGCTACTGCAGAATTCCACAACTGGTCAGACACAGAGAACATACATCTGAGAGATGCCAAGTATTAGGTGACACATCTACAGTTGAACCTCTACACCTAAGGCTCATGGAACATAAGAGAACGAGGGATGGAGAGAAAACTAATGCATCCCTCAACTCCCACCAGTGAAGCTTCCTTATACAACAGAGTACTATTCACACAGAAGGCCACAACTGGCCAAGTTTTAAAGAATAAGAAACTACAGCGTGTGTGTCCCTAGATAGGACTCCTATATTAAACCTTACCCATCCACGGCTCAGGGACTGTTTGAGAAGAGGGGGCGGAAAGACTGTAAGAGCCAGGGCTGGTTCATGAACACAGGGAAGCAGAAGCTTTCAGGTCACTAGAAGCTGCACATGTGAACTTGTGGCAATGGTGGCATTGAGCACAGGACCCATGTCAGCTCAACCAGACAAGGGCCCAGAGTGGAGCAAGGGAAATGGGTGGCAGGCCAGCCATAGAACTATTAGAGGCTGATTACTACTGGATGAAGGAGAGCATGCCTCTGTAGATGGGGAGTGGTGGCACATGCCTGTAGTCCCAGCACTCGGGAAGCAGAGGGAGGCAGATCTCCGTGAGTTCACGGCCAGCCTGGTCTACATAGTGAGTTCCAGGCCAGCTGGGGCTACAGGGAGACCCTGTTTCAAAAAGACAAAATAACAAACAAACAACCAAAAAAGAAAAAAAAATAACTGTTGTATGAAATGTACAAAAGCTCAATAAAAAATAAATTAAAAATTCCTCATTCTATTTTAGTAGTCCCTACCTGGCTCAAGCCATCCCAATCTCCTTTCTGTCACTAGGGATTAGATTCATATTTCTAAAATTTTAGGTAATGGAGCACTCAGTATGTCCTCTGTGTGTGTGAGTCAGATTGCCTGTGCTGGCATGTGTGGAAACTGAAGTTGACAGTAATCACTTCACCTTATTAAAAATTTTTATTTTGAGCTGGGCATGGTGGTGCACACCTTTAATCCCAGCACTCGGGAGGCAGAGGCAGGCGGACCTCTGTGAGTTCAAGGCCAGCCTGGTCTATCTACTGAGTTCCAGGACAGCTGGGGCTACAGGGAGACCTGTCTCAAAAAAGACCAAAAATTTTTAAAATTTATTATTTATTATTATTATGTGTATAAATGTTGTGCCTTCATACATGTAGGTGAACCATGTGTGTGCAAAGGTCAAAAGAGGATATTGGATCCCCTGGAACTGGAGTTACAACCTGTTGTTAGCCAACTGGCAACTGAACCTGGGTTCTCAGCAGCCAGTGCTCTTAACCGCTGAGCCTACTCTCCATCCACTTAGGTTTTTAAAAATATTTTGTCATTTTTATTTTTATGTGTATTCATGTAGTGCCTGCATGTATGTAGGTGCACCTGTGTAGTGCAATGCCTGCAGAGGTCAGAAGAGGGTGTCAGATTCCCCTGGAACTGGAGTTACAGACAGTTGTTAGCTGCCACGTGGGTGCTGGGATTCGAACCTTGGTCCTCTGCAAGAGCAGTCAGTGCTCTTAACCACTGAGCCATCTCTCCAGCTCCAGTCCACTTTAGTTTTTAAAATAGATTCTCTCACTAAACTTGGAGCTTGCCATTTTGGTTAGTCTGGCTGGCCAGCAGGCCCCATGGACCCGCCTATCTCCATCCCCAGTGCTGGGGTTACAGGTGTACACCTCCATGCCTGGCTTTAATGTGAGTGTAGGGATTTGAACTCAGGCCCTGAGGTTTTTACAGCAAGCATTTACTCACTGAGTCATTTCCCCTGTTTTCTTTTTTCATTTCATTTTATTTTGAGATAGCCCAGGCTGCCCTCAAACTCACAGCAATGCCCCTGCTTCAGCCCCGAGTGCTAGGATTACATCATGGCTACCAGCAGTTTTGTTCTTTTTTCTTGCTGCATTAATTTCCACTTTATGGCCATACCACAGTTTGTTTTCACATTTCCCCACTGATGGACATTATGGTCTTCTGTCATTTGGGTCTGTTAGGAAGATTTCTTCAGAACACTGTTGCACAGTAGTTTTGTGCGTGTTGAGGAGGGCACATGTCTTTATTTTTCTTAGGCGTGGAATCACTGAGTGTTATGGAAAGTTTGTGTGTGTGTGTGTGTGTGTATGCTTTATTTCCAAAGAAAACACTGGAGTGTGTTCCAGAGCAGCAGTGTGTTCCTGCCAGCCAAATATGAGCATTCCAATCTGTCACATGTGGGCCAGCCTCTGTGTTGTGAGGCTTTTTATTTTTAGTATTACTAGTTAGATGTTGCTTCTTTTTCCAAAATACTGTGGCATTTAAAGATATATATTTAGCCAGGCGTGGTGGCGCTCACCTTTAATCTCAGCACTTGGGAGGCAGAGGCAGGTGGTTCTCTGTGAGTTCAAGGCCAGCCTGGTCTACATAGCAAGTTCCAGGCCAGCTGGGGCTACAGGGAGACCCTGTCTCAAAAAGACCAAAAAAAAAACCAAAACACAAAATGATCCAAATTAAATAAATTAAATATAAAACTCAGGGCTAGAGAGATTGATCAGTGGTTAGAGCATGCAGGAGGTACACTTACATACATGCAGGCGAAATGCTCATACACATAAAAATAAATAAATAAATAATAATTTTTAAAAAACCTCATCAGACATGGTGGTGCACACCTGGAATCTTAGCACTCAGGAAGCTGAGGATTTCTAGTTCCAGGCCAGCCTGGGCTACAGGCTGTGTTTATATGTCTATATAGGCATATATACATACACATGCACATACATATATATAGTTATTTTATTATTAAATAATTTAAATTTTTTACTATTTTAAAAGCTGGCCTTTTCTCCCTTCTCCTTCCTTCCCCTCCCCTCCCCTCCCCTTCTCCTTCTCCTTCTTCTTGGAGACAGGGTCTGACTGTGCATCTCTGGCTGGCCTGGAACTCACACAGATCTGTCTGCCTCTGTCTCCTGAATTCTGGGATTAAAGTAAAGGTGTGCAACAGCATGCCCTGTGGTTCTTGTTCTTTAGTGATCAGTGCTTAAATCCAGGACTTCCTGGGTACTAAGTGCTCTACCACTGAGCTACAATCCCTAGTCCTAAGTTATTTTAAATAAATAGTATTTGTCAGCCTGTGATGAGGATGTTTCCCACTCATGTTCGAGATTCCCAGCCATGAGATGCATTACCTCTGAGGCTGGAAAAAATAGTATTTGCACATGGCAAAACTTCAAACAATATATCCTTCCAGAAAAACCGACCCAGATGCAAATATGGAAATACCTACCTGTATTTTTCTTACCAGAAATAAGACTTTATTGTATACATTACTCTTTACCTTGATTTTTATTTTATTGTTTACATTTATTTATTTAGTGTGTATGTGCACGCATACATGTATATGTGTGTGTGTATGTATGCATGCCTGTCATGACATGTATGTGGAGATCAGAAGACAACTTGTGGGAGTTGGTTTTCTCCATCCACCCTTAGGAGTTCCAGGAATTAAATTCAGATCCTTGGGCTTGTTGGCAAACACCTTTACCAACTGAGCCATCTTGCCAGGCCTCCTTGCTTTTTATCTTAGAAATCATTCCACATCATACTACGTATCAGTGATGATTAGGTTCATGGCTGGGAGTATAGCTTAGTGATAGAGCACATGGTTATGTTTAATGTGTGTGAGGTTCTGGCTTCAGTTCCCACCATCAGAGAGAATGGGGGGGAGGGGGACTAGATTGATCTCAAGTGACAGAAAATTTAAGATATCAATGCTCCGCAAAATCAGGCTTTGCTATCTCTCTCCAGCGAAGTTCATATTCAGACTCTACCATGACCAGGGACCCAGATTCCTTCTCTCTCCGTTAGGTCGTCTTCAATATGGGCTTTGCCGAGCTTTGCCATTACATCTGCTTCAGCTGGCAGAAAGATGATAGGAAAGAGAGGGATGAGCTTCTCTTTTTAGGAACAATTCCTATGAAACTTCTATCCCCCACTCATTAGCTAGAACACAGGCTCATTCCTAGCTGCCAGGCAGGCTGGAGAATTTATTCTTTTTCCAAGTAGCCATGTATCTGCTCAAAAAGCAGAGGGAAAAGGAAAGTGGATGACGGAGGATGACTACAATTTCTGCTACACAAGGAAATTTGCCTCATTAAAAAAGAAATAGGCTGGGCGTGGTGGCGCACACCTTTAATCCCAGCACTGGGGAGGCAGAGGCAGGCGGATCTCTGTGAGTTCAAGGCCAGCCTGGTCTACATAGCGAGTTCCAGGACAGCTGGGGCTACAGGGAGACCCTGTCTCAAAAAGACGACCCAAAAAAAAAAAAAAGAAAGAAAAAGAAAAAGAAAAAGAAATAGGAGGGGCTGGAGAGATGGCTCAGCGGTTAAGAGCACTGACTGCTCCTGCCGAGGACCCAGGTTCGATTCCCAGCACCCACATGGCAGCTACCAACTGTCCTTAACTCTAGTTCCAGGGGAATCCGAAGCCCTCTTCTGACCTCCGAGGCATTGCACGACATGGGTGCACTCACATGCATGCAGGCAACACACTCATACACATAAAATAAAAAATAAAAAATGAAAAGAAATAGGAAAGGCTGGATCTGGTGGTGTTCACCTTTGATCCCAGCACTCCGGAGGCAGAGGCAGGTGGATTGCTCTGAGTTCCAGGCCAGGCAGAGCTACATAATGAGACCCTGTCTCAAAACTCTGTAAAACCCCTGTTGCTCTGGGGTAATCATGAATGATCAATTGCTGTTGATCATGTATGTGCTACAGCCTGCATGTGTGTGGGTCAGGACGTCTTTGGAGAGTTGGTTCTCTCCTTCCACCATTTTCATGAGTTCCAGGGATCAAACTCTGGTCACCAGGATCTGTGACAAGCACCTTTGCCCACTGAGCCATGTTGCTGGCTGTATACAGGAGCTTTTGTGTGTGATCCATTAAGGAGCAGTTCAGACTATGTCTGCAGCTACTCCAGGTGCAACTCCAGGAGAAGACACTGGAGGAAAACCAAGCTGGGTCTGTGAGGGTTCACACAAAATGGCACCATGGTTTATGCTGAAATATGGTCATCCATGGGTCCTACCAGACAGGATGGAAAGTTTTTAATCTGGAGATTTGGTTATATTTAAACTAGGAATCTAATTTACTTTATTTTTGTTTTTGAGACACGGTCTCCCCATAGCCCCCAGCTGGCCTGGAACTTACTATGTAGACCAGGTCGGCCTTGAACTCACAGAGACCCACCTGCCTCTGCCTCCCAAGTGTTGGGACTAAAGGCATGTGTCACCATGCCCGACTGATTTACTTTTTTTATCTGCTCTGCATGAGCGAATTCATTGGTTCAATACTAAATATGTAAAACCTTTAAAAAAACAAAACAAAACAATAAACCCTCAAACAAACAAAAAACAAAAAGGAGCAGGGTGAGGAGGAAGAGGAGGAGGAGGAGGAGGAGAAGGAAGAAGCCAGGTGTGGTGGTACACACCGGTAATCCTAGCATTTGGAGGCAGGAGGATCAGGAATTCAAGGTCATCCTTGAGTACAAATCAAGTTCAAGGCCAGCCTGGGTTATATATGGAGGCCCTCTCTCAAGTGTGTGCACACGCACACACACACACACACTATACACCGTACAGTTCCACTGTATGATGGTGCCATCATTTATTTAAACAATTGGCAGACCTTGTTAACCACACTCTTTACAAGTGAAACCACAGTGATATGTTTGCTATATATTTTCTCACAACTTCCTTGGCACATAGGGGTGTATTTCTGTTGGGTGAATTCTCAGAAGGGGAATTGCTGGGTCAAAGACCATGTTAGAGATTGCCAAATTGCCCTCTGAAGAAATGTCTTCAATTTTTGTTCACCAATAATATGTTTCCCCATGCCCTAACCAACCTACTGGGTTACAAAATTTGGCAATCCCATAGGGAGAAAATTATATCTCTTTCTGATAAGTGTAGAATGCACGGTTTATGTTTCTGTTATTATGAATTAGGATCAACATCTTTTCATACCAGTGACTGATTATTGCTATTTTTTACTTTGTTGTTTGTGCATGTATGTGTGCTCATGTGTGTGAAGGTACATGAGGGTGCATTTAGGTATTCCTCCTCCTCAGGCCCTGTGCTCCTTGTTTTTTGGGTCAGGATCTTTCACTGACTGGCCTGAAGTTGACTAAATAGGGTAGGCTGACTGAGAGCTGCCTGTCTCTGTCTCCTCAGCTCTGAGACCACAAGCGCATGCCACCACACCTGGTTGTTTTTATATTCTATGAATTGAATTCAGGTTCTCAGGGTTACATGTCAAGACTTTGCCAACTGAGCCATCACCCCAGCCCCAGTCTGCAATGTTTTCGGTATAAGGCATAAGATAAGGATCTGGCTTCCCTAACCTTACTCCCCAAATAGCTAATCCATTTTCCCAACATTATTCAATACACAAGAATTTGTTTGTTTTGTTTTTGTTTTTGACAGTGTCTCTCTGTAGCCCTGTCTGGCCTAGAACTAGCTATTGTAGACCAGGCTGGCCTTGAGTCACAGAAATCAATCTACCTCTGCCTCCTAAGTGCTGGGCTTAAAGGCATGCACTATCACACCTAACATAAAATATGATTTGTTCTGTTTTATTTTGTTTGGTCTTTTTGAGACAGGGTCTCCCTGTAGCCCCAGCTGGCCTTGAACTCACTATGTAGACCAGACTGGCCTTGAATTCACAGAGATCCACCTGCCTCTGCTTCCTGAGTGCTAGGATTACAGGCATGTGCCACCATGTCTGGCATGAATTTTTAAAAGGATGCTAGTTCTAAACTGTTTTGGTGATCATAGCTCTGTAGTATGCTTTAACATCTGACCACACTATACTGTTCTTTTTCAAACTTTCCTGCACATTTTCCACTCTCATTTTTTCCAGAATGAATTTATCATTACAGAACTAAAACCATCCTAATGCTATTGGTATTGTAAGTAGTGAATGTTTTCATGCTGCAATCTACAAAAATACAACTCCCAAACAAAGACGCATGAGTGATACATGATATCATTGTATGACTTTTCCTGGGGAGACATGAACAAACATCTATTCATCCCAGATAGGAAACTGACCACAGATCAAAGAAACGATTCTACCCAAGACTAGCTTGGTAAATCAGGAGCATGACAACTGTGTCACCAAAACTCTGCACATCTTGCAAGCAACTCCATGGAAGAGCCTTTTCTCCCAAGTGATTGTTTACTGTTTTTATTTTTATTTTATTTATTTATTTATTTATTTTTTGTCATTTTGAGACAGGGTCTTCCTGTAGCCCTAGCTGTCCTGGAACTCACTATGTAGACCAGGCTGGCCTTGAACTCACAGAGACCCTCCTGCCTCTGCCTCCCAAGTGCTGGGACTACAGGCATGCGCCACCACGCCCGGCTTTGATCTATTTATTTTTAATTTTATGTGTATGAGTGTTTTGCTCACACATGCAATGCCTATGGAGGCCAGAAGAGGGCGTTGGATTCCCTGGAACTGGAATTACAGATGGCTGTTAACTGCTATGTGGTGCTGGGAACTGAACCCTGGTCTTCTGCAAGAGCAGCCAGTGTCCTTAACCTCTGAGCCATCCCTCGAGCTTTATTTATTTATTTATTTATTTATTTATTCAATTTTATTTTTTTGTTCTTTTTCAGACAAGGTCTCTCTGTAGCCCCAGCTGGCCTGGAACTCACTATGGAGACCAGGCTGGCCTTGAACTCACAGAGATCCCCCTGCCTCTGCCTCCGAAAGGCAACCACGCCTGCCTTCATTTATAACCTTGGGGAGGGGCCTTATGAATCCTGTGACTTTCAGAGCATCCTAAATATTCCTAAATTTTCTGAGCTTCCTGGGTCTCCCTGTGTCCCTCCTCCCTTGAGAAGACAATGTTTCAATTCAGAGAAAATAGCTAGACTTCAGATAACTATACATTTCCCAAACTTTCTGACAAGCTGTGAGCCCTCCTCCAGAGAATCTCAGTCATCTCTGAGCTCACTGGGTCTTGGGAAGGGTACCACCGAGTAAGTGAAGAAAGCATGGATTATCCTGACTTGAGCATCTCAAATGAAGAGGCACCTTCAGATCCAGCAGTGGTCACTTGGGAAATCCCAGTGGCCGCCAGGCCCCGCTGGAACCCCAGCCATTGGTCCTTGAACTGGAGACTGTAAAACCCT